GCTTCCAGCGTGCTAAGATCAATAGGAAATGGATATTAATTGCGTGAGCGGGAAAGGTTAATAATGTCCTTACTGGCTTACTCAACCTACAAACCTCTACTTCCTAATTCCTTTCTGGGGAACTGCAGTAGGGAAATACATGGGAGAAAATTATATCTCTGTCTTTAAGACCTCCCAGTGCCACTTATCCTGAACCCGAAGTCTTCTCAGTTGGTGCATTTCTGATGAAGGAGAGGTGTGCCAATCACAGAAGGGTAATGGAACAGCTGGTATAATCAGAACTCAATCAGTTCTCTGGGGAGTGTGCGTACCCCCAGCCTGGCTCCTCAGAGAAGCCCCCGGAAGAAGGGAGTTTCCATAAGCTGAATATAAGAGGCCAAGGGATTTGTGTCCGAGTCTTCCCCACATTATGCTTTTCCTCAAGGATCTAGGAATCGTAAGGTAGGTTGACATACTCTTGAAAGTTTACTAGTTATGAATATATGTGGTGGAAGGGCCAGGAACACAAAATATGGGGAGGGAGGAGGCAACTTGGATTGATCTGCATTGATCTACAAGAGATTCTAACACATGCAATCAAGAAAGTCAGCTATTAACCACAGCACGATCCCCATGACTTACTTACTGATTCATATCATCAGTTGGCCAGGTACACTTTGCCAATAAAATCTTCTCCATTCTCTTTACGCCCATTGTATGAGTGTGTCGTCTAGATATTCACTTGGAGTTCACAGCCTCTACAATTATGTTTTTGTTGTTCTGAGATGGGGTTTTGCACTACAACCCAGGCTTGTCTGGAATTCTTGATCTTCCTGCCTCAGTTTTCTAAGAACTGGAATGACACGTGTGCACTATCACACCCAGAAAAATTATGCCTTTTCCATAAATAGGGAAAGGAATGGGTCGAATGTCTATTGCATAGCGCCATGTCACCAAAAGACCCAGCTGGTAGGAAGCAAAGAGTGGAAGAGGTGTAGCTGCATGTTCTTAGCATCTCCAAAAAAAGAAATGTATGGTGGAGTCTGGGCTTATTCTTATAAAACTCTGCTCAACCCATGGAACATGTAAGCAAAGCATTCAGGAGTGGAGGCACACAGCACCCTCAGATACTGTTGGGGTACAGCTGCTAGCACCTTTCACACCTATTAATTATGACCTCTCGCGCAACCACATCATGTACAGACTAAGGGCCAGAGTTTCCCTGCCATATGGCAAGGCAAACCCACCTCAGGCATATGAAGCCAGTGACCCCTGTGGTCCTGAGCTTCATCAATGGGGAATACCCCATGGCTCAGGTCTCAGCGAGCAAAGCCTACCCATGAATCACAGTGGTTTAAAACCCCCCTCTGAGCCATTCTTGCGGCTCCCTGAAAGGTCTGGCATGTGTCATAAGGGCCTAGAAGACCTGAAGACTCCTTTGTGAAACAAGACCTCCTGTACTTTGCTGGTTTCTCAAGTCTTTTCATAGACTCATGAGATGACCTATCAGCAGGTGAGGGAAGACTTGAAACACCAGGTGAAATATTCCCAGTGGGTGTGGTTTTCAGCCTCTTGTATTTTATTAGTTATTGTCTCCTTCACCACACCAGGTACATGTTCTCTGTCGTATATGGGTCCTGTCCTTGAATCTTTACATTTGTGTGTTTAAATGGAAGTTAATACAAAAGTCAGGAAACTAGAAGGGGCCATCAGGGTGAAGAATGACTTAAGGGAGGGAGACTAGCAGTGTAGAGTAAAAGGGTCAGTCAAAGAAACACACCTTGGCCCTAAAACCAGAGCCAAAAGAACATTCTCTGTCCCTGACCAACTCAGCACAAAAACCAACCAATCTATGAGTAGGAAATCCATCTCTGAGTCTATCTAAGCTCAGGGATTGAAATCCGACCAATTCCCACCCTTAAAATCTCCACCCTGGAAAAACTCTGCCCCTAAGAAGCCCTACGCCTACTCAGTTTGCTGTAGCCCCCTTTCCACTATGGCAGAGACAGCCAGCCTCCTGGATCTGTCCCTCCCAATAAATGAGGTTTGGGTGAGACCTTCTTTCCCCTGCTGAAATGGAGTAAAGCAGAGAAGTAACAACAACACTTTCTACTCCGCAGCCAGGGTAGAGTAGAGCGGAGCAGAACTGTACCACTTTCTGCTAGGGATGGTGACATTATGGTATTCCTTGGCTCCCGACTGCCAGGATCCCTTTCCATCTGAGATGCAATGCTTACAAGGAAAGCCTAGCTGATATTAAAGTAGAAGTGGGGAATAGAGAAGACAGAAAGGTTCAAGCAGAGATAGGGTTGGGGCACAGAAGGGAAAGGGCAGGGGAGTTGAGAATTGATTGAAGCAAAGACCATATGGAAACCTGCCACTTTGTAAGTTGATTAAAAATATGGTTTAAAAAGGTTGGAAGGCCTATATCATACATGGCTACGTAATGCTGCTTCTAAAAGCAATGAGTTGTCAAACGAAAAGCCCAAAGCCGTATGTGAGATCTGTCACTGTATATTCCTAAGAAAGCTCATGCCATTGCTGTTGGTTGCTCACCAGAACTAGTCAATAAGAGCATTGCTGAAAGAAACCACACACCTCAGTTATGAGACAAAGATAAACAGAGTCTTTTATATTAGCAACTCATTTGAAACATACCACTTATCTACGGAGCACAAATAATGCCGAGGGATATCTCAGGGAAGTTACGTGCTTAAAAGCACCTTGCTAATTAATGCCAGGAAGAAGGTTCTTTTTCACTTGGGCACTGGGCATTGAATCCAGGGCCTTGTGCGTGTTGAGCAAACACTCTACCACAGAAGCCATCTGCTGGATGGCTTTCACAGTGCTGAAAGGTGGCATGCAAGCCACTTGGGGGAAATCTATCAACTCTTCCACCCATCGGTTGTTGTATGAGGGGGGTCCCTTTGTTCCGTCCGGCCCAGCTAGCTTACACCCAAAATAATCACACAGAAACTGTACTCATTTAAACACTGCCTGGCAGCCTATTATTGGCTAACTCTCACATCTTGATTTAACCCATTTCTACCAATCTGTATTGAGGTCGTGGCTTACCAGGAAAGATTCTAACCAGCATCAGTCTCAGGCAGGAGCTTCATGGCATCTGCCACACTGCCTTCTTCCTCCCAGAATTCAGTTCTTTTTTCCATGCCTACCTAAGCTCTTTCCTATCAAAAGGCCAAGGCAGTTTCTTTAAACCAATGAAAGCAACACAAATACAGGAGGACCTTCTACACCCATCAGTGAACCCTATAAACTGCAATATCAGTCTGCCAGTTAAGATACTCCCACTTGGGAAATAGTGGCATGAATGTTTGGGTGGTAACCAACCTTACTGGATTTGAGACCTGCTTCATAGAAGGTCCATATCTGATAGCATAAACTAGGTCAAAAATCTTTGAATTGGGTCTTAGGCTATAGAGACCCTGACCACAGATGCTTAATGTAAGTGATATGGAATCCAGCTACTTTCTAAATATTTATCTGTATTTGTATAATAAACAAATGTTATGCTAGGTATTAATCAAAGAAGCTTCTCTTTGCAATGAGCTGTGGAAAATACAGAGATTCTTGGGTTCAGAGGGTGATGACCATATGTGATGGTTGAGTGTGCAGGAGAGTTATAGCTCAGGGAATGTCACAGAAGATGGAGTAGAAAGAATATAAGAGCTAGATGATAAGAAAAAGGGCCGTAAATGTGATCATTTGGACATGACACAGCCATTGCAATCCTGACTGCACAGCAGCTGTGGTTGCCTACCCTGTCTCTTACAAACTGGGCCTCGCATCAGTCACTCAAAGATGGGTGAGAGACTCAAAGGACCATATCCTACCCTGCTGAACTACTGGATACTGGTAGATTCCAGAAGGCCAGACATTGTTCAGTCATGTACCCACAGGTGGGTCCACTAGGCTCCAGTGGATAGTTGGAACCTTGTGGCCACACAAGCAGACCTGGTTAGACAGAGTGGGTCACGAAATAAAGGAAAACACAGGGATTTGAGAAAGGAGTTGCAGGAAGGAAGGAGGTTGGCGAGAGTGGGAGGCATATAGGATATGGTGCAGATGAGAGCCGTCAGGATGCAACATGTAATATTTGATCAAACAAAAAAAATCTTTGTAAATGATAACACAGTATTTAGAAAGAAGAGTAAAATCTAGAGCCAATAGTTTTGGGCTTAGTGGGGATGATTTGTGGTGCTGTGTCAGCTAAGCACTGGGCTGGGGGCCTTCTCCCATCCCAATGCATAGTGGAGGACAGCTATTGGTATAATCTGCATCTGAATCCCAGTGGTACTATGGAAGTTCTATCATTTTGCCTAATACTTTCAAAAGGCCCTCTGAACCCACTGTGCTGAAAAGAATATAAGGTCCAGGGAGAGGAAATTATCTTAGGTCACTCCTTCACTGGGGACACAATGTCCTAGATTTAAGACAAGTCATTCTTTTTTTTTTAATTTTTACATTGCACATATCTGCATGCATATATGAAAACACACAAATTCATTTGGTTCAAATCAAAGGTGGTATATCTACTTAGCATGATAACACTTTATAAAAAAATGTGCTCCAATAAAGGGGTACACACCATGATGTGGAAACCCACAGAAACAGCTGATTCAAGTTACTGGGAGCTCACTGTCTCCAAACTGACAGCTAGAAAAACTGCATAGGACCAAACTAGGCCATCTGAATGTGTGTGGCTTGGGCAGTTTCTGGCACCATGGGCAGTGGAGTCAGTATTTAGAACAGTCCTTTTAGAGCCCATTGTCTGGGGGTGGGAGGGGGCTTGATCCTGCCTCACGTGATGTGACAGACTTTGTTGACTCCCCCTAGGAGGTCTCACCCTCTCTGTGGAGTGGAAGGGGGGGGGTGTAGAAGAAAGGGGGGGGAGCAGGAGGAGGGGAGAGGAAGAGAACTGGAATTGGTAGGTAAAATAAAAATAAGATTGTTTAAAAAAAGACTAGTTTTTTTTAAAAAAAAAAAAGTGCTCCAAAATGATGACAAATTATTCCCTCTGCAGAGATAAGTAAAGAAGTAAAGAATAGCAAAGACACATTAGAAGATTCTCAGCCTTCTTGGAAAAGTTCTAGGGGGTTGTTTTCTGCTTGTTTGTTTTTAAAGATGAATGTAATCATTTAATGTTTACATAATAAAATATTGACTTTCTCAAAAACAAAATAAAAGTTGTACTTTTAGGATTCATTCACCCATCCGTCAGTTCATCATGCAAGTACTTATTATGAGGCAGGCATGTGACAGGAGAGAGCATGGTCCTGGTTCACAAGCTGAGAACTGAACTTTTGGGGAGGGAGAGCAGGTTAGCAAACAAGAATTAGGCTACATGTCTGCGGGCACAAGAAGAAATGAGGGCAGCGTTATGAACACAAAGAGAGTGCTTTCGGCCCAAAGATGGCTTACAGGGTCAGTGCTTGCCGTGAACACCTAATGGCCTGAGCTGCATTAGAGAACTCACAGAGGAAGAAACAAACCAACTCCAGAAAGCTGTGCTATAACATACAAATACTTATAACCACCTACATACAACATACACACACTCACGTACACATAAATAACCATAAATAGAAAATAATTTCCACTTCACGGGAAATGCAGGGTCCCTGCTAAACTCTTCCATGGCTGCCATCTTGAAACACATTAATTATGGCCAACAGTTAGCAGAAGAAGAAATCTCTGCAATTTAGGAGGAATTTACATTGCCTTTGGCTTTAGATAGTACTCAGACCAATACCGTAATATAAAGGACAGCTTGAACTTTCCAAACACTTGACCTCATAAACAGGGGGTGTCTTTCTTGCTCTGTATAGCATTGTGTCTTTGACTGTTTTGACTAGCACTTAAAGTTAGACCAGATATGGTCACCATCAAAATTGCTGTTTTGATCTGGGTTTCCAAAAATAGCTCATTTGAAGCCTGTGGTGTAGGAGGATGATGGTTACACATAACTCCGAAGAGTGAAAATATAAAACACTTAAACCAAATTGCCTAAGAGCTGAAATTGAGTGCAAATAATGCCTTGTAGCAATAGCTATAATTAGCCATCCTAATAGAATCCTTTGAAGATAGAGGTGGTTCAACAAGTAAGTTTAATTGAAAGTAAAAATTTCAGACTAATATTCCATCAAACCAAGACTAAACGAGGACAGCTCAGCAGTGACCCGGTGAAAAGTATTGAGTATGGTGGGAGATGCCCAGGTAGGAGGGGCAAGTGCTCTTTTCTGTCTTCTCCCAGTTTCCAGGCATCTTTCCAGGTTCAGGAATGTTCTATGTCTTCTGGAAAGAGTGTCTCCTTCTCATAGGGCCAACGGCACGGCTGGATCTATCTTCTGTGTAAGTCCATCAATCTCCTACAAAAAGCAAAACAAATATTAAAAAGGAATTAAGGAACAGGGTGTGGTGGCACATGCCTTTAATCCCAGCACTGGGTGGCAGAGGCAGGTGAACTTCTGTGAGTTCAAGGCGAGCCTGGTCTACAAAGGGGTTCCAGGAAAACCAGGGCTGAGAAGGAATGCAGAAAAGAAAAGAAACCCTATCTTGAAAACCAAACTAGAATATAAGATTAGGAGGCCAGAGGAAATGACACTGGCCATCCAATACCTTAGTCATTCCCAGCACATTGCATTCTGGGAGGTGCAAACTTACCTACCAGCGCTGGAGGGCTCAAGTGTCTCACAGAATTCCCTCCAGCCTGAAGACTTCTGTCGTTTGCTGTTTATCAGCTGAGTTACTTGGTGTTTCTAAGTAGAAGCTTCTCATCTGAAAAATAAGACAGGGTCATTGTTATCATCACATATCCCAGAATGCTCAGGATGCTGAATCGTGTATACAATCACTTGGTGCTCTAGACAGTGTCAGGTAATATAAGCTGTGTGAGAAAGGTTGATCAGGGGGACCAGGGCCTTCCTCCACACTCAGAATGGGTCCGTGAACCAGCAGCATCCTTGTTGCCTTGTGGCCTCTTCTTCAGAGTTCAGTTTGGCACAGGAGATGTTTAATAGGTACTCCTGTGTCTGGTTTGAGTCACCACCTAGGTGTGTGGCTCTGATTCAGGTGAACACCGGATATTGACCAGGTCTTGGAAGCATTGCACTGTCTTTGTAGTCAGTGGCAGAGATTCTTCTGTGTAAAAAGTGTGGCTGAGTGGGAATGCAAAGGAAGGCAGAATATTGTTTCTAGGAACACTCTAACCCCTAATGCCCAGAGTCAGTAGGATGCTTAAAAGCTCTGCTCTGGATCAGATACTCTGGGCTTTAGCTGTGGCTCTGCTTATCAGAGCTATCTGTTAAGCTTCATAAGCTGATGCCTCTGAGCCTCCTAGTTTCTCCATTATTTTTTAAATTAATATTATAAAAAGTATCTAATATTTGAGTACATGCAAAGTCTTTTATATTAGCAACTCATTTGAAACATACCACTTATCTACGGAGCACAAATAATGCCGAGGGATATCTCAGGGATGTTACGTGCTTAAAAGCACCTTGCTAATAAATGCCAGGAAGAAAGTTCTTTTTCACTTGGGCACTGGGCATTGAATCCAGGGCCTTGTGTGTGTTGAGCAAACACTCTACCCAGAACCCAGCTTGGAAGCGGGTGCCACGACACAGATGGGCTCTTGGAGAATTGTCTGGTGACTTCTATGAGATCACAGGAAGGAAACATTCTCCCTCTAAGCTGCCTCATAGAGGGCAAGTAGTCAACAAATTCTTAACAATTGGGTTTCATTCAAAAATTAGTGTTTTCCTCCTTTGGTCAGAAGGAAAACCGCAAGGATTACTAAAGCATCCATGTAGTAGATGAGAAGGAGGAAGCAGCGACCTACAGAGATTCTGGCCCCTGACAGCTGTTCCTCTCCACCTGTTATGGCATAGGGCCAGAGTTGGGGTGCTCTGCCCTTGAAACTCTCTGTTACCCCCTTTCGTTGGGAGCGTGCAGAAACCCCAGCTTAAACAGCTGGAGCGGGAACAGGTCTGACATCTGCCGGGCAGGAAACATTTCTAAAGAGCACTAGGTTTCTAAGATGAGCTGGACAGATCTATTCCTCGGGGAAATGGGATGTACTGGTTAACGCACCACTTCTGAGCTCTGGAAATGGTTAATCGTACAGATTCAGGGGAGACTACTTGCACACAACAGGCAGTGTGCACTTCCGGAATTGGTCAAAACGAAAACCTGATGTAGACTGTTGGTTGCTGAGTAGCCAGTCAGTCCCTGCTCTCCTATTTTAAAGGAACCCAGTTCTGTGTAAGTTTAGAGCAGACAGGCGTGCGCTCAAAAGAAGTACTGGTCAATCAGAAGAGTCATCAAGAGTCGTCAACTGGGGCTTCAAGCAGCCACAGCAATCCTGTCATCTCTGATGAGGACTAGCTAGGAGGACACCTGTCCCAAGCTATACAATAACACAGACTTAGGGGGAGTCTATACAGAATTTCTGGAAAGATTTGTCTTCTCTAATAGAAGATAGTCTGCCTACCTGGTATTTCTTCTTACTAGAGATTTTTCTATGGAAAGCAAAGCATCTAACACAGGGGCCAGTCCAGTGCCCTAATGCGATCACTGCAGCAAGTACACACATCTTATCATACCAGGTGCTGCGGAGGCCATGGGGAAACAGAAACCAGCGAGCATGGCTGATAGAAGTGTAAGTAAGTACAGTCATTTTGGAAAAGAATATGACAACAATCATGAAACTAAATGGGCCTGTGAGTTATGACTCATTCACATCATTGCAGGGTTCACACCAGGGAGACTCTCCCACAGTCCCCAGCTCGGGTGCAGGGTGTTCATCAGAAAACCAGACTGGGTCTGCCTAGCATCTACTAGCAGGAAATAGAAGAGGACAGGGGAAGAAAGCAAGCTAGGGCCAATGGCAGGACAAGGTAGGTGTCTCCTATGAATCAAGGGTACCCAGAGCACCCAAACTGGATTATTATGGATTGAAATGGTTCGTTGGTTACAAGCTTGGTCCCTCATGTGGTAAGGCTGCAAGGTGTTGAGAACATTAAGAGATGAAAGGAGGATCATAAAATACCATTTTCTGGGTGTGACATAGTCGTTATAACCAGGATCTCACAGCAGCTGAGGTTGCCTGCCCTGAGCCTGTGCAAGACGGGATCTGTCAACAGCTACTGTCAGATGTCTTATGAGGTCCACCCCTCCCTGCTGAACTACTACTGATGACTGATGGATTCTCACGGAGAGGGGACAATCATCAAACGAACACCTATTGGTATCATAGGCGGCACACTGTGGAGTTCCATCCCTATGGTCACTCAGATGTCCCAGATTAAACTCGGGGTGCCATAAAAGAAACGATGACAGCAACAACAACAACAAAAAACCCCATGAACTTAAGAAAAGTACCTGTCAGGAGGGAGGAGGAGAGTTCACAGGGGTGGGGAGAAGAGAAGGTGGAGGGAGAGGTAAGTAGAATGCATTGTATACATGCATCTAATTGCTAACACATTGAATTAACAACAAGAATAAAATTCTTTTGAAAGATACACCCACAGTCATTATCTCAGAGGTGATTCCAGTCATCTGAACAATGAGGACACCAGACTGTAATTCTCTGTGGTCCACATGGACTTATAAATGGTTTTTCTCAAGTGAAGTTTGGTTGGAAAGGTCAACTGCCCTGATTTAATCATCATGTATTATACATATGTACCAAATCACATTTGAACTGGGCTAGTCATGGAGTAAGGAGGCCTGGCTTGGAAGGTGGAAGGCAGAGAGGGCTGGACAGAAAGAGATGAACATGTGACCCTTAGATGACTGCTTCCGGTTTCCTTTTCTACTCCCTAATCAACACACCATCAAGCTAACCAACCCTGAAAAATTGTTTCTCTTTCCCTCCCTCCCTCCCTCCCTCCCTCCCTCTCTTCTTTCTTTTTCCCTGAAACAGGCTTTCTCTTCAGCTTTGGAGCCTGTTCTGGAACTGGCTCTTGGAGACCAGGCTGGCCTTGAACTCTCAGAAATCCACCTGTCTCTGCCTCCCTAGTGCTGGGATTAAAGGTGTACGCCACCCCCGCCTGCCTTGACAACTTGCTTCTTAAGTGCCTGTCAATGCTAAAAATACCATAGTAAGAGACTGCAAAATGCAAGTCATTCCTGGAGTGTATAATCCAGTTAAGGAGTCAAGACTTTAACAGGAAGAAAATTAGGTACCCATGGAAGAATAAAGGATAACACAACAAAAATAAGACTATCAAAAGTATAACAGTGTGGGCCCTGTACAGTCCAGACACAGGAGATCAGGATCACATTGGGGGCTTTGTGGGAGAGTCCTCTGAAAGCTATATTCCAAGGATAGCCGTAGGTTGCAGAGTGAGTGGTAGCAGCCAGGAGTGTTGAGTGCCTGATGTGAGAGAGGTCTAATTCTATGTGTCCAGAGCGAGCATTTCTTGCTGCTATAATAGAAAGAAAATAATGGAGCCCTGGAAGAAGGGGTGGAGAATGAAGACTCAGAAAGCCAGGCAGAGAACTCTAACCTGGGAAACAGAAAAGTGAACACTGCAAAAAGCTGTGCGGAGAGACTGGCTTTAGCAGAGATCCAGGAACCCTTAAACCTCAACACCCAAGGACACCCCCACAACACCTAAAGAACATTTTTCAAAAGCTAAATCAGGGAAGGAGTCATAAGGAGCAGAAAAGTCAGGTGTCACCTGTGGGCACTGCTGCCATCACCAAAGCCCAGATGGGACCTTAGAAGTCTTGCCCTCTCAGGGATCTAAGCAGGCTCCATGATGTGGTAGAGTCTTCTGTTTTGTGTTGATTTCATTGGTTAAATAAAGAGACTGCTTTGGCCCTTTAATAGGACAGAAAATTAGGGAGGCAAAGTAGACAGAACAGAGTGCTGGGAGAAAGAAGCCTAGTCAGGCAGTCGCCATGATCCTCCAACCCGACACAGACGCAGGTTAAGATCTTACTGTAAGCTACCACCTCGTGGTGGTACACAGATGATTAGAAATGGGTTAATCTAGATGTGAGAGCTAGCCAGTAAGAGGATAGAGCTAATGGCCAAGTAGTATTTAAAAGAATACAGTTTCCGTGTAATTATTTCGGGTAAAGCTAGCCGGTGTGGGAGCTGGGTGGCGGGAAGCAGCCCGCTCACCACAGCTCCATCCTTTGACCTGGGCAGCAAGTGCGACCTTACCTTGCAGGCTGCATTAGTCAGAAGTGCTATGTCTTACTGCAGTAAGATGTGTAGCTCAACTCAACCTATCTAGCATCCCTGGATAAATCGATCTGAAGGTCTGTAAATATATACAACGATCTCCATCTTTCAGTTTGCTTTTTCAAACTTGTATGTGAGGGCCTTAAATACAGATTGATTTCAGGCTGTTTATAGTACCTAAATGGTGAAACGGCTCTACCAAAGTGGTTGAAAAATGTGTTGACTGTCATCAACTACATGGAGTTGGCAAGTCTACTGTAGGCTCAGGTATCTGTGTACCAGCAAGCTTTCTGGAATTATCACTGGCAAATTGAAGGAGGAAACCTACTGCCATCAAAAGTACCAAAGGGACCAAGGGAGGCAGTTTAGGAGGATGGTTCAGTATAGAGGTGCCCAATAAATTGGAGGCCGAAAACAAGCAGCGTGTAGCTTCTATGTAAGTATGACTGGGCTCATACTCTGAAACGGTAAACATCATTGCAAAACTGTGACTCATGTTCTGTTGAGCCCCTCCTCCATCCTCAGAAAACAATGTTCACTTCCACCTGAGGTCAAGTTCAAGATCCTGATTGGCAAGGAG